TAGCAGATAATAACATTTTGCTTATCCGTTCATTAGATGATGGGTATTTGGGTTGTTTCCACTTTTTGGCTAATATGAATAATGCTGCTGTGGACATAATGTGTACCTTTTTGTGTAGACATTTTCATTTTTCTTGGGTATATACCTAGAAGCGCAATTTCTGGGTCATATAGTAATTATCTGTCTTTAACTTTTTGAAGAACTGTAAAGCCTAAAAAGCAGCTGCACCATTTTACATTCCAGTCAATAATGCAGGAGGGTTCTAATTTCTCCATATCGTCACCAGCACTTGTTCTCTCTTGTGAGGTGGGATCTCCTTGTGGTTTGATTTACACTGGAATCTTGTATTTTTATGCTGTAGTTTTAAGTTTCTCTTTTCATTGCTATTAGTTTCATTCATAGGGCTTTTCATTATATTAGTTGCCTTTGGTTATTCCAGATTGCTTGTATATGGATGTTTCTTAAAATGGCAGTTTTGGGAGAACAGGTGTGTGTAGGTAGGAAAGTACCTGTGGTTTAGAGTTCACATCCAATTTTTGCAAATATTTTGCTTCAACTCCTCTTTATCTTGATGCATTGCAGGGTGGTGGCCTTGTCCATGTCACCTGTGGATGACACTTTCATTTCTGGGTCTCTTGATAAGACCATTCGACTCTGGGATCTCCGGTCTCCTAACTGCCAGGTAATGGTACCTCACAGTTACACTTTGAGTGTTTCCTATGGTAGGCAATGTCATCAGCTCTTCCTCTCAAACAAGGGAGAAAGTAATGGTTCCATTCTGAGATCCCAGAGTCTTTCTAAACTTTGGAGAAAATCTATCTTCCTGGTAGGTAGCTGGTAATTAAGCAAATACCCTAATCCAGTGCATATTGCTTAGAAGTGTAGGTTCTCAGTCTTCACCACAGACTGACTGGATTAGAAGTTCTGGGAGGGGATCCCAGTAGTCTGCATTTCAATCCACCCTTGGGTGATGCTGATGGTACTCGGGTTTGAGACTTAGTGTAGTCCACAAAACTGTAGTTACGGAACCATGAGGATTTTTTGTGGCTTTTTGCTTTCAAAACCATTTTCCTGAAACCTGTGAGCTTATAGCTTTTATCCTCAAGGAATTTGTTTTTATTTGAATTCAGTGTCTATAGAATTGTACAGTTAGGGTTGATGAAGCCAGTTGTATGGGGACCTGTTTGTAAAAAGTCTCATTTTACTTAGTTTTGTTTGCTTTTTCTGTTCCCTAGGTAGGCAGGTGTCTATTTGTGTCCCTTTCTTAAGTTTTCATTGGAAAAAGTAAATTATATAGTGGTAGGATCCTGGGTTCATTAACTTTTTTTTCTTATTTTTTCTTAGGGCCTCATGCATCTACAAGGCAAGCCAGTTTGTTCCTTTGATCCAGAAGGGTTAATTTTTGCTGCAGGTGTCAATTCTGAAATGGTCAAACTTTATGACCTTCGCTCTTTTGATAAGGTAAAATCTTTGAGTCTTTGAGCTATCTTGGTATTATGGAAGTGTTGAAGGGTAAGATGAGAGCCTTTTCCTTGGTAGAGGAGGTATGTGGTAGACATTAGAGAATGTCAGAGCAATAGTTCTTTCTCTCCTTTTCCTAGTCAAAAAGGAATCTTTTTTTTTTTTTTTTTAAGATTTTATTTATTTATTTGACAGAGAGACAGATAGTGAGAGAGGGAACACAAGCACGGGGAGTGGGAAAGGGAGAAGCAGGCTTCCCGCTGAGCAGGGAACCCGATGCGGGGCTCGATCCCAGGACCCTGGGATCATGACCTGAGCTGAAGGCAGACGCTCAACAACTGAGCCACCCAGGCGCCCTGTCAAAAAGGAATCTAAAGGGATAGAGTGAGAGTTGGCTCTGCCAGGAGGAACACTGATGGGCCTTGGGCTGGGGCTACTGTCTTTATCATTGCAGGGGCCATTTGCGACTTTTAAGATGCAGTACGATCGGACTTGTGAGTGGACAGGACTTAAGTTCAGCAATGATGGTAAACTCATCCTCATCTCCACCAATGGCAGCTTCATCCGTCTCATCGATGCATTCAAGGGAGTGGTGATGCACACCTTTGGGGTGAGCTGACAACCTTTGAGCATGGCTATTTCCATGCTTCTACCTCCTGGGCTGAGATTTATGTTAGCTGGTTGATGGAGACCAGCAGTTATCCTGGACTCACCAGTGGAGGCACGGCTTGCGTTTTCATTCTGAACATGAACTTCTCTTGGACTCTGAGACATTCACTTCTCACATAGTGACCCAAGTTTGGAGTTTAGATACAAAATAATTCTTGACCAAAATAATTGTCTTGCCGCATTGAATACAGAGTTGGAGATGGGGTTGAATTGTAAAGGGTGGCAGCCTTGTGTGGAACATTGGTGATGCTATGCATGAAGAGGAGAGGGTTTCATGGAAAGGAAGGTGATGTGTGTGCTGGCTCAGTGTTTGCAGGTAATTATGTTAACAGGGCTGTGATAAGAGAACTGTTCTTGTTTTTAGGGTTATGCCAACAGCAAAGCTGTCACTCTGGAGGCCTCGTTTACTCCAGACTCCCAGTTTATTATGATCGGTAAGCTTGCTTTATCCCCCTTAGGGGTTATTTCTCTGGTACTGTGCATTTATTTGTGTTATTTTTATTAGTTTTAACTAATTAAGATACTATCTATTATCCTTTTGATAGACATTATCAGATTTCTGTATAACAGCACGTTATGCCAAAGGTGTAGTGTCTTTATCCTGATTTTGCAGTTCCTTACCGGGAACTGGCATTAATAATGTTGGTCTTCCCTAGACCAGCATGAGTTAAACTCTACAAGCACGGTCTTATTAGTAATACTCACTTCCTGATTTAACCCTGCATTCGGTTGTCAGTGGCCCGATGTTGGTAGAATGTGATGGTATTCAGCCCCGTTGAGAAAACTGAAGTTTAGAGGAGAAATGACATGCTCAGGAACAAATAACTGAGAGTTAAGATCAGTTTCCTTTCTTCCCACTGCCTCTCCTCCCTCAATTTCTTTTCTTTTCTTTTTTTTTTTAAGATTTTATTTATTTGAGACAGAGAATGAGAGAGAGAGAGCACATGAGAGGGGGGAGGGTCAGAGGGAGAAGCAGGCTCCCTGCCGAGCAGGGAGCCCGATGCGGGACTCGATCCAGGGACTCCAGGATCATGACCTGAGCCGAAAGCAGTCGCTTAACCAACTGAGCCACCCAGGCGCCCTCCTCCCTCAATTTCTGATGAGGGGCCAGGTCCTGAAGCTTGGCTTTTCTCCAGATGTCAATTTGTGTCTTTCCCATTTGTCTTTGCATTGCACCTTGAGCTGTTGTATTTTCCTTTATCATTCCCTTTAGGTTCAGAGGATGGCAAGATCCATGTCTGGAATGGAGAGAGTGGTATAAAAGTAGCTGTGTTGGATGGCAAACACACAGGCCCCATTACCTGTTTGCAGTTCAACCCCAAGTTCATGACCTTTGCCAGTGCATGTTCCAACATGGTATGTGAGCATGGGAGATGTCTTCCATTTAGGGACCCTTTCTAGTTGGGGTGGTGGGTGCTTCAGTGAGCACAGCAAGCTGTGTTCTATATAGGTATGTGACGAGCCTCCAGGTTCTTACTCCTCAACTGGTGGCTTATCTGGTCTCTGGTTGGACTAGTCTTCCCCCCTCCTTTTTTAAGATTTATTTATTTATTTCCGGGGGGAGGGGAGAGGGAGAAGCAGACTCCCCGCTGAGCAGGGAGCCCGGCTCAGGGCTTGATCCCAGGACCCTGAGATCACGACCTGAGCCGAAATCAAGAGTCAGATGCTTACGGACTGATCTTTCACTTTTACTTTTCCTCTTCTTTTCTTGATCTGAGATCACCTCTGTTCTGCTGGGAGATCTCAGGCCAGTTTTTGCTGTGGCCCCTGGTTTTATGCCCAAACTACTTGGGACTACACCTCATAGTTTTTTGGCCTTTTCTTTTCCTTTTAAGATTTTATTTATTTGAGAGAGAGCGCGTTCGCATGAGTGAGGGGGAGGGGCAGAGGGAGAAGGAGAAGCCGACTCCCCGCTGAGCAGGGAGCCTGATGTGGGACTCAATCCCAGGACCCCGGGATCATGACCTGAGCCGAAGGCAGACGCTTAACTAACCGACTAAGCCACCCAGGCATCCCGTTTTTTGGCCTTTTAAAAAAATACTTTGAACCAGCCTTTTGTGGCTGCAAACTCTCAGTGTGCCGTTTCTTTCAGTTTATGCTGAGTTCCTCAGAAAATCATACAGTTGATCATAACTCACTACTTAGAATTTCCTCTAGGCCCCTGTCTCTTCCTAGGCAACGCTAGCAGAACAAAGCGAAGTGTGTCTCAGTCTCAAGTTTCTTTTTGGCATCTCTTAAATCTTCCTGGGTATTTGAGGATGAGGGATTTCGCTTCTAGCCTATCCAGAACACATTGCCCCCTTGGCTCTTTTTTTTTCCCTTTTTTTCCAACTAAGGAAAATGTGTCAGAAGGAAATGCAGCAAAACCATCTAGTTCAATTCTTCTCACTTTTTTTACAGCTCAGGCAGATTAGCAATGAGTCCAGGTTACCCAGACACCCACCTTCCAGACAGCTTTCCTGTTTTTCCTTACCACTGGGCCACTGGCATGGAAGGTAGACAGTGTTGAAGACAAGACCAGCTTACTTTCGCATGGAGGGGGTGTTTCTCCCTAGATTGCCAGAATTGATTGGTCATGAGGGAAGGCCACCAGCCAAAACTCTTCCACCGTTGGGGTTGGGCACCTTGATGCTATGGGGAGGGTTAAGAACCCTCAGCAGTGAGGAGAGAGGCTTGGCTTTTAAAAATTGACTTCTGTTTCTCCTTCCAGGCCTTCTGGTTGCCCACCATTGATGACTGACCTTGGTGCTGCTCGGCTGTTTGTGTACAGTGAGGGTGGCCAGCAGGAAAGAACTCAGAGGGGACTGAGATAATGGATTGGATCATTTGGGCTGGAGAGCATCCTTCCACATGGCCTTCCCATGGATGTGCTGTACATCTGCTCAAAAGAAAAAAAGTACTTTGCCGAGCTTCTTCAAAAAGACTCTTGGTGTGGCAGATTCTATCAGGACTTAGATTTTACAGCTGTCACTGCACTGAGCTCCTCCAGAGGAGTGACCAGATTCATGATTAGGGTATACTGGGGTCCTCAAGACGCCTGCAATTTTGAATGTATTTGCTGCTGAGGAGCCGGTGAAGTTGTTAATTCTGCACATCCCTTCTCCCACCCCCATAAATGCATGGGAAGCCACAGTTCTGGTTTTGAGATGCTAAGGGCAGCTCAGCACCCCTTGCCCTCACCCTGCATGTCTTGTTACTGGGTCTCCCTCTGTCATTGTGGCATTATTCCACAACCATCATGTTACTTAGGTGCCAAACATTTACAGAAATAATTCTTCATATATCTTGGGGTAAGAAAGGGATAGATACAGAAAGAAGGACCTTGCTTGCCAGGAAGCCTTGTGAGTTAGTCATGTGAGGGTGGGTGATCTGGGCATGCCTTAGGGCTCTGAGTGTTGGGTGGGAAATGGCCCAAGAGCCTGAAAGGGAGGAAGTAGGGGTTGCAGGTAGTTTCTATGGCTGGGAGGTTTAGCAGTAGCCTAGTGTGATCCCCCGTCATCAAGACAAACCTGCGGTCTTTCTGGGTGCCTGCCAAGCTTGGTTTTGTACAAAAGCAAGGTGGGAGTCTATTTTTGTACATGAGTTACATCACGCTTTCCTGTGGGCCAGTATTGTGGAGTGAGTCTGAGTTGTTTACACTGATGCCTTCCCTGCCCACCACAAATTGTGTACAGAGTCTCCAGATGATAGCACCCCTTCCCAGCTCCCAAGCAAGAGCTGGCTCTAGGCCTGTGTTATATGTTCTATTTAGCCTTTTTATATATGACATGGGGTTTTTGTTGTTTGTATTTTAGCACAGTGTGTACACCTTCATTTAAATATATCCGTGTGTGCATACATACATATACATATGTATGTATGCATATATATATATGTATATAGAATATGTCATTTCTCACAGTTCAGAAGGCGGTGGAGTCCGGCAGCCCAGGAGAAAGACTGAATCCTTGCTAATAGTGTTTGCCACAAGTGTTAGTGAGTCTTCTTTATTACCCTTATTTCTTTGGGAGACAGAACGAAGCAAAGCTTCAAGTGTTTGCTGTTTCCATGGCAGCTAAACGAGGGTCTTGGGATAACTTCCCTTGTGTTCCTCAAGCCGCACTTTGGGGCCCTTTCTGCAGTATTAGCCCCGTTTTGCTCGGTGATGCTCTGTCTGCGCCTGTACATGTTGACAGTCACTCTTGCATGCCTTTTGTGCCTGGCTTCTGGCGTCTGGGGACACAATGCTGGAACCAGAGCATTTTCAGTTTGTCTGAAGCTTCTTTTCCAATTACAGGTCATTCCTGTTTACCTGGTATGTCTGCTGCTTTTCCTTGCCTTCTCTTGGAAGGGGGGAGAGGTCTTGATCAGGGTTGCAATGAGCTAAAGCTGGCTCGTGGCCTTTCCTTCCCCTGCATGGCCTTCTTAGAGCAGGACCAGTGGCATATTATTTCACTAAGTTCCCAAACATGTAAGCAGGTCACATGTTCCCTGCAGATACAGAAACAGGTTCAACGAGGTTATGACTTGCCCAAGAGTACATAGCTGCTAAGGGGAAGCAAGCCATTAACTGCCTTCATTCAGCAGCAGGAATACGCTGTGAGTTGCTAGCAATTACAGTTTTGTTTTGTTAGCAGTTACTTTTGACTTGTTCCTCAAACTTAAAGGGCAAGGGGCATACATCTTTCCAAAACGTAGACTGGAATCTGCAGCTTTTCTCCAGTGCCACCCACTGTCTATAGCTCTGCCTTCTCAAGAGTGGAGGGATTTTTAGAAACCAGGTGATCTGAGCTATTACTGCCCACTTCTGGCTCTCCAGGGTAGAGAATTCATGGTAGGAATAACTGTTCAGAGTGCTTGAGACTGTGGGTTTACAAGAAGAGCTGCGTAATGAACATACCTGCAACCACGGCAGCCACTTGCCTGTCAGCAAGGAAGATGATTTCTATTGAGTTACTGGTGTCCAAAGCTAAGGTACCATGTCCTTTGAAATATGCACGGCACTGCCTGTCCTTCTAGGGACCCATGGCTACAGAGCTGGCTCTCCTGAGTGTGCAAGGAGAGGAAAGGGCTGGAAGTGACTGGGGACGATGTGTGGGAATAAGGCAGAACAAAGGGAGCAGAGGGGCTGGGGCTGCAGGGATGCTCTCCGTGGAGCCAGGGGTACCCTAGCTCTCGGGGTGGGAGGGGGCACAAACCATGCTCTTGAGAGTCCAGGCCAAAGCCACCGATTTGTATGTGACACTGCACTGCTCAACCACCAGCCAGTGGGGTGTTGTTTTTTTTTATTTTTTATTTTTTTTTTTAAGAAAAAAAAAAAAACTTCCTGTTGCAATCATAATTAATGCTTATTGAGGAAATTTGGGGAATTTTAAAATGAATCCGTTTGCCACCCAAATGCTACCACTGTTAATCTTTTGGTGTTAAATGTTCCTCTAGATATTTCTGTGCATAGGTTTTTGGTGTGTTTACATAGTTGTTATTCTACTGTATATACAATTTTATGTCCCTTTTGTACTTAACATATAAACATTTTTTCCATGTTAACAGTCTTAAACAGAATTTTATGGCTGTAGCCTCTCTGTTGTTGAGTTTCCATAGCCTTGTTTGCCTGGTTCCCAGAGTTGGAGGGAGGGGTGGGTCATCTCCTGTCAGTCCTCCTGACTCACCCTGGGACTCATGATAATGCTGTGTGGATGGATTGTTGGGCTCCCTGGGACTGTCCCCTGCCTGTCCCTGGTGACCAAGGCCTGGGGGCTGGTGGGAAGACCTCCTAGACCCAGACCTCAATGCCTCGCAGCCTGGGTCTCAACCACAGGTGCTAATAAGCAGCCACAGGACCAGAAATGAGTGGGAAGAGCCAACCTGAGCCAGCACTGAAGTAGCATTTCGGACTCCCTGGCATGTACCTTAGGCTGCCTTTCATCCCCCATTGTTACCTCAACGCTTGATCAGATTGGCAGCCTCTAGCTGGAATAAAGTTTGGTCCGCTAGGCCCTGGCTTCTGTGGGGCAGGGAGAATGGGGCCTCTTCTTTGGCTCCTGCACTAGTTCTGGCAGAGGGCCTGGCCAATAGCTTGATAACCCATTGCCTAGCTGGTGAGTTGGCAACTCCTAGAGCCCATGCACTAACTCAGTGTCCTCAGAGCTGCCTGCCTCTTCTTGGCCGCCTCTGAACCAGAGAAGACACCCTTGGGCCTGCCGCTTTGCCCATGGTCGTTGGAGGTTGGCCAAGGATTATGAAGAGCAGCAGAGGGAACATGCCAGCATGTGAGTGATGATAGGCCACGCCCAGGTTCTTCTGGCAGACGGCTCAAGGAGAAAGAGGCCTGGTGGGAGGCCTGCTGCAGCCTTTGGCTCTGCTGAGACGCATGAACACAGGTCAGTGTGGCTGACCCTGCAGTGGTCACTCCCGCCAGTTTGACGTGCTTGCAGTTGAGAGACCAGGGGCTTTGGCCTTGTGTGAGGAGCAAGAGCAGAGACAGCGGGCCGCCAGGGCGAGCTGCCTCCGCAGTTGATGGGGGTGAGAGGCAGGCACAGGATGCTGCCCACACTGCTGGGGGGCAGGGGTGGTTGCTGAAGAGAGGAAGTCAAAGTGCAGGCTGCTAAGGCGCACTCCTGCGTTGACTAGCCACCTAACTAGAGCAGTCCTGGAGAGGCTGCCAGCACTTCGGGGGTCCCCAGGGCGTCAGGGCCTAGCTGTGGCCAGACCGAGGCCCAGAAGTGCTGAGAAATTTGGTAGTTTTCCCTATCCCTTCCCTGGAGAATGTATAGGAAATGGGAGTCTAAAATGAGTTAATGAGGGGCGCCTGGCTGGCTCAGTAGCGCATGTGACTCTTGATCTCAGGGTTGTGAGTTCAAGCTCCACACTGGGCATGGAGCTTTCTTTAAAAAAAAAATAAATGAGCCAATTAAAAAATAAAAATAAAATGAGCTAATGGGCAGGAAAGGGGGCCTGAGAGCCTCCCCAGTAATCGAAACATGTAAGTTTTACCATCAGTTCTGGTGCCTCTTAGCCCATGTCCCTCCTGGCCCCCATCTAGGGTTGTGAGTTGCCTGAATAGAATTTATCCCAGTTGTAAACTAAAGTAGGAGGGTGAGGCTGAGATCATAAAGGTGGTCACCTTGTAATTCAACAAATGCTTCCGAGCACCCGGGCCTTGGCAAGTGCTAGGTGATGACAGTCTTGTGGGGAAGGTGGAGAACTAAGCTGTTCATCAGACAGTAAGCCCTGGAACACCGTGATTTGTCTCCAGCTAATTCTTGGTTTATCGAAGTAGGCATGCAAAACCAAGTTAAAGGCACTCCTGGTACACCAAGCCCAGAGCTCACGGATGGTGGTAGAGACTTTTTTGTGTCCTAGACCACAGTTCTCACTGGGGCTCACCCCATGCTGGGGACTAGGGAGGCCCTCAGAGAAAATGCAGTCCTGACTATAGGCAAACTTGCAAGGGGGAGCGGAGACCAATTCTTTGGAAAGTAATAAGAAAGAGCAAAAAGTGTACTATAATGCCAAGCTTTACAGCAATCCATGATCCACAAGGGCTCTTCAGCACACAAACATTTAATAATAGGGAGGTGATGGGGAGCAACAAAAGCAAACGCATTGCTGGCACATCAGCCTATGGCAGGGCTGGGGCCAGGAGGAAGTGATCAGGGGACATTCCCGGCTCAGCAAACTCTGGGGCTCCTCTTGCCTCTTTCTGTTCTGCCCCAACTTTAGCCCCCTGAGCCTCTGCCTCCCCTCCAGTGGCAGAAGGGGGGATGGCAGGACCTGGGCTGGTCTCTCCCAAGGGGCTGATTCAAGATGTCTGTTGAGCAGATAGGAGGCTACCCACAGCTTCCCATAAGGCACCTTGCATGGGCTTTGGGGGTTATTGAGTAACTACCCTGACATTCATGGGTTGGAGACCTGGATCCAAAGAGGCTCTTCTGCCCCTCCTGGCATTCGTGGCCAATGCCCTTAGTCCAGCTGTCCCCATCTGGGAATAACGTTGGGCTGCTAAGACCCTGTCAGAGGAGCCCCCCCCACCCCCCCCGCCCCGGGTTTCCTACATTGTAAAGGGAGGTTATTGATACTGCGCTCTTGCCCTGCCTGCCAAAGGGCGGACCTGGGGAGCTGGGCTCTCCATACTCTTCCTGCCTTGGCTACCTGGTATAAACGCTCTCCTTGAAATAGGCTGGGGTGGGGGATCACCCCATTGTGTCTGGGGCGGGGCAGGGCAGGTAGGCCTGCTGTTGACCATGATGGAGGGATGCCCAGACTACACCTGGCCCCAGAGTGGTTCTGGGATGTAGTGTCTGAATTCCTCAGTGGCCGCCGCTCCTCTGGCCCTGGCTGTGCAACGGAATCACGAACACTGAGATGTCGTCGTAGGACACCTGCCCGTCCCCTGTGGGACCGTCATCCTTTCCCTGCGTGCTGTGTATCAGCCTTTGGGCCAGCTCCGAGAACCTGTGGGGGTCATCCTACAGATGCACTTCGGAGCCACAGCAAAGAGGCAAGGGCCCCCCTCAGGGAGAACTTGCTGCGGAGGGCTGGACACGTGGGAACCCAAACAATGCAGTCCAGCTGTGGAGCCAGGCAAGCCACAAGCATGGGAGGGCCACAGGCTGGACCACGGAGATTTTTGGTCCTGGGGATTTTGGAACCCAGAGATTTTGGGGACCCACAGTCACCCCCCCCCCCCCCCAGAAGCGTGAGACAGCTCCACTCCTGACCACATGCCCCGAGCCGGGCTCATCATCAGCACTGTCCGCTTAGCCACAACCACATCCTGGTGTCGCTGCTGGTACCAGGCAGGTCCCCAGAAGCTACAGTACCTGTGTGGGTCCTCTCGGTTGCCAGGGAGGAAGCTCCGTACTAGCCGTGCCACCTGCTCATTGGACAGGACATCCCAGAGACCATCAGTTGCCATGACAACCACATCCTCCTCCTGCAGCTCCAGCTGGTCCACATCCAGTACAGTGACCTGCAAGTTAAGCCTGAGGATCCCTCAGCACTCCCTTCCCGGCTCCCGCCAGCCTCATCATCTGCTTTTCTGGGCAGATGGAAGCTGGTGTGGGCTGTTGCCCGCTCACCTGTGGGACAGAGAGCAAGAAGGGCTTGAGCTGAATGTTTGTGTCCAGGACTCTGAGCTGATGGTCTCCCAGGCCCCGGGAGACAGCCAGTGTTCCCAGTAACCGAGCCTGGGGACAAGGGAGACGTGAGGTGACAGCAAACAGCCCCAGCCAATGTGCAAATAAAGCACACAGAAGCGTACTGTGGCCCTCAGGGGCCCTGGGTTGAGGGACAAACATCCTGTAGCCTTGGAGGAAACCCCGAGACCCAGGCCACAGCCCCCAACAAGGAAGAAAGGAGCTCCCACCTCTGCAGGGGGCGATTTAAGAGGGGCTCTTCGAGGGGGCCATTCACTGACCTGCCTACCCTGCCCATGGATCAGTGGGTACTTGAGATCCGACTTCTCCACGCACTTGTAGCTCCTACCAGGAGCAGACCCAGCATCAACCCAGGCCCCACCCAGCCCCTCACCTCCCCGCACCAGGGAGCCCACCCCGCCCAGGTGGAGGAGGACGGCCCCAAGGCCACACACTGGGCCTGGACACCAGGGCTCTCCCCACTGTCTCCAACCCCACCTCACTCACCAGCCTCTCATGTGGTGATCCCGGAACAAAACCTTCTGCCCCAAGTCATCCCCCTTCAGTCGCCGAGGGAACTCCAGTCGGGTGAACTCACCTGCCAGAAGCTCGGGGTAGACGAAGGCCTGGGGTAGGGAGGACAGGCACAGATCAGGCTCTCTCTGGTGGCCTCTGGTGACTCTGGACTCACAAGTTGGGGCTCCACAGCCTCCCTCTGCCAAAGGCACCTACCAGCTGCTGGATCCGCTGCCGCTCAGTCTCCGGGGTGAACTCGGAGCTCAGGGGCCGAACCTCATCTTTCCGAACCAATATGGCCCTGGACGGGGTTGCCGAAGAGAGGGAGAGGTCTGTGGGGCAGATTCCGCCCTCGTTCATGGCCTCCCTCCTGTCGGCCCCTCCTCCAGCCACCAGGGGACCAGCTCTGCCCCCCCCCACCCCACCCCCGTGACTACCTACAGCCTGCAGAGTAAAGGCTCAGCCCTTGGGCCTGGCGCTCGAGGTGTCTGCCCTCCCTGGCATCTGCTGCCCACTCACACCTGACACGCCAGCTCCACCCAGCCAGTCAATCCCCATTTCCATCCCTCCACTTCCAGCCCCCTTTCACTGTCCCCCTGCCCCTGGTGCCCGCCGGCCCGCACCACCACACCTACCCTTCCAGCTCTTACCTGCTGTCCCCAGCATTGGCCACATACAGCTTGCCCTGCAGGGACACAGCCACCAGGGCTGTGCAGCCGCCCACCTGGCCTGAGGCCTCCAGCTCCCGCCCGATCACCTCATCCTGGGGTAAACGGAAGCCACCTGAGCTGCTGCCGGTAGCACGACCACGCCACTCCGTCCCCAGTCCCCAGCCCACCGTTCACTTCCCCACCAGCCAGCCTGGCGGTCCCCACCCAGAGTCTAGTTCTGACTCCAGGATCCCTGTGGTCAGAGGATCTAGGCGTATCCCCTGGGAGGGAGGGAAGTCCTAACCAGAACTGAGGAAGGGAAAGCAGCCCCCGCCCCAGGGACCAGCAGGGCGCACGAGGTACGCGGCGGCTTGGAAAAGCACCTGGGGTGTACCAGGCACCCGGTAAACAGGAGGGCTTATGATGACAACGATGACCGTCACTAACAAGCCAACCCCATCCTGTCCTCCCCATGCAAAGATCCAAGGAGACTCCACCGCTGTGGGCAGGGGTGCCGCTCAAGTCCCTGGTCCCTTCCCCAACCAAAGGCCACACTCACACATTCCTGGAAGGCACTCTCCAGAGCCCCGATCACCAAGTCTTCTGCCCTAATGCCCTTTTCTTCCACAAACTGGGGATCACTGGGGCAGACGCAATGGCCGCTGAGGTGCATGGGGGGCCGAGTGGCCACCATGCCCTCTACCACGGCCTCCAGCTGCCGGCGCAGGCAGGAGTGCAGGGTGTTGGCGGCCAGAATGGCTGCAGCCGGACCGCCGTGCCCATCGAACAGGGCCCAGTAATGACCTGTCAGGAACTGTGCAGGAAGGGCTTGGCGTCAGGCTCTGCCTGGCTCCCCCAGCTGTCCCCTGGCCCGGAGTGGGACCCTAGAGCAAGAACCTCAACCTGCAGTCCTGCTCCCAGCCTGAAAGCCGGGCTCGGACCCAGCTGTGCTCACCTCCTCTGGGCACAAGGTCAGCCACTCCTGGTCCTCTTCAGCCCCAAACTCACATCTCCGTATGCACAGCTGCCCACAGGCCGCCTGATCCTCATTGAACTCAGACTTCTCTGCATTGATGATCCTGAAACCGGTAAGTGGTCAGTGACCCTTCAGGGACACACCCATGTCCCCACGGGCAGAGACCAGAGCTGGTACACAGAAGGAGGAGCCCTACCTCTGAGGCAGCAGCCCCCATGCTGCCCCTGACACACATCTGGACAAACCTCAGGCTAAGGCAAAACTCGGGGCCCAGCCCCCCCGGAGCCTACCCGCTGACCTAGGCTGGGAGGGGAGGGTGGGGCTGCCTGGGGAGATCTGGGCTCCTTTGCCTATCCGCCATCCCATCTCAGCCAGACTTCCTGTCCCATACAGCACAGGCCACAACCCAGGGTGAGATGCGCGCGTGCGGGGATGGAGGGTGGCCCCAAGGCCCGCGACGCGGGAACTCTACCCAGTGTCCCTGCCCCATCTTGGAAGCCCCAGAGGTGCAGGTCCTTCCCAACTCGCAAGCCTCTCTGAGGGAGGCTGGAGTCCCCAAGAAAAGGCCGCGGTGGGACTGGGAGTCGCGGGGAGGCTGTCAGAGTCCCAGCTGAGGACCGGAGGGAGGCATATCCACAAGGCTGGGGGGCGGGGGCACTCGCTCAGCTTGGGCTGTTTTCCAGGTTGGTCCCGGCGCCGGGGCCGGCCCAGCAGGGCCGGGAGCGGGGGAACCCGGGGAGGGGGGCACTCACTCGGCGTAGCCTGCGTTCCAGGGCAGCGCGCGGCCCCGCGCCGGGCTGCGCACGGGCCGGGCGTCCGGGCGGCGCGGGGCGTCGGCGGTGCCGGGGCCCGAGCCCGAGCCGCGCAGGAAGCGGGGCCGCCGGTAGGGCACGGGGCTGGCGCGCGGCCGGGGGGGCCGCGGCGCGGGGAGCGGACCCCCCGGCAGGAAGCGGCGCCGGAACCAGCCGGCGGACATGGCGCGGCGGCAGGGGGCTGCCCGCGGGGCGCCGGGCGGGAGGAGGAAGCGGGCCGGGGGGCGGGGCCGGGGCGGGGCGGCGACGGCCCCAAACCCGGCCTCCCGCGAGGAGTGCGCCCGCGGCTGGGCGCCCTCGGGCCTGCCGAGCCTCGTCACGACCGCGAGAGGCCGAGGCTGTTGTCGAGCCCACTTCGCAGGCAAGAAAACTGAGGCCTCGAGAAGCGAAGCGGCTCGCCCGCGTCACGCAGCCGCCCGAGCAGGCCGGGTGCTCCTGCACACGCGGGGGGGGGTGGGGAGCTCCGGCCTGGGCGAGGGAAAAGGCCCCCCCGGCCCCCCAGCGAGGTGACGGGGTCGTTCGGAGGCTGGGCAGCCCCCGTCCGCCGCAGAGCCCCCGGCCTCCTCCTGCTGGGCCCCAGCCTTGCGCAAGGCGAAGATGAGAACAGGATGTGCTTGGAGGTGTCAGGCTGACGCGTTGAGTAAGAGTCTCAGGGCACGGGGTTCCCCCAGGTGGCCTTCATTCCCCACCCCCGCAGTCTGTCACCCTCCGCCCCCAGACGGGGCTTGGTGGTCACCCCGGTCGTCCTCATCGTGGGAGGCCGCTCCCCATTTCGGGGACAACCTCCCAAACGACCCCTTGATGGCCTCTCTGGATAGACCGCAGGATCTTCACTAGAGTGTTTGTGCCTGGTGGACAAGAGGAATTCATGGTCCCCAAAAGGCTCCAACCAGAGTTCAGACCTGGAACTAAGGGAAGTGAAAGACTTTGATCTTCGCTGGAAGCGGGTGTTGCAGTGTCTTCACCCCGACCAGCTGTCGCAGTGGGGTCCGCCGCAGTGTCTCCCCTCGTATCTGCTTTGTCACCCTTCTGTCACTTAAGCCCAACTCCTGGTGCAGGAGTGTTCTTTCTGCCCCCTAAGGGGGTCTCCGAGGCCCACAGAGGGGAAGTGTCCTGCTGCCCAGGGTGAGCTGTTTCCATTATGACAGTTCAGCTGACTCAGACCGCCCCCCCCGGGGATTTCTCTTCCCTTTTCCGCCTCCAAAAATGCAGGCTTGCCAACTCAAAGGCCCTTAGCCCAGGGTCCCCGGGGAGAGATGCAGGAGGAGTTTGCCTCCACTGCCCAAGCCTAGCACGTGCTCACAAGACCCTACTTCCTCTGGGCTGCCAGCCCTGCCCCGTTGGGAGGTCCCCCTGCCCCAGGAGGATTGTTCTTGAGATGGGAAGGTGTGCCCCAGGTCCGCTCCCTCAGATGACTCCAGTCCGGAGCAGCCTGGGGGCTAACTTACTGACCCCACTGTGTGCGCCAGGCCCCACACTGGGGACAGGAGCACAGCGGGCGAGCCGCTTCGCTTCTCTAATGGGGATGGGTGAAGTCCTGGTGGACGGTGCTGGATCCAGCTGGCAAGGGGGTGGGGGCTAAGTCAGAAAAAGCTTCCTAAAGGACCCCTCCCTGAGCTGTGCCCTGTCATTGGGACAGAAATGGACCAGGGACCCAGGGTGAGGCAGACCCAATTCAGTCTGTGGGGTCACCTCCTCATCCCTACCAGCCAATGGCTCAGAGGGTTTTAAAGTCTAAAATGAGAGGAAACAACACACAGTCTATTCCTCCAACCCACTGTCTTGCACTCCCCTGGGTGGGATGACTCCTGTCCTATAAAGTCTATTCAGAGAAGCTCCTGAGGTGTCACGGGTGGTCTGTTGCTCAGCGTAGCTGTGGAGCCCTATGGCAGCCCCATCCTCCCTGTCCCAAGGCAGCCTGAGTGTTCCTTCAATGCCACAGAGGCTCCTCTGGCCTCTAGATTCCTGGGAGCCTCCACTCTTATTTGGATCCCAAGCCCGACTCTCTTAGTTTTCTATCTCATTTTGCTGAAACACATCCTCTAACAACTCTTCAAGGAAGGATGACTGGAAGGTAATTCCCTGGGTCCTTGCAAGTCTGAAAGGGTTTTTCTCAAAAGCCACCCGCCCCCCTGCCCCCACCAAAGTAAGCTCTACACCCAACATGGGGCAAAAGCCTTTGCTTTTGCCTGATATTTTGGTTCAGAATTCTGCCTTCTCTGTTCATTGTCTTTTGACTATTGCTGCTTCTGCAATCCAGTGCCCCTTTCATTCCCAGACCTTTGGATTGGCCATTTGCCTTTTTCTTTCTCCAGAAGTTTCCAGGCACTTCCGTCTCTGTTGTCTGAAATTGTAGGTGAGTTTCCTTGGGGTTGGTCTCTTTTCATTTCTGGGCTGAGCCCTCCCTGGGGGCCATGCACTCCCCACCCTCCAGTGACACCCTTCTCCCGGCTGTTCAAATGAACCCAAGCTTGCCCCCCTCCTGGCCAGACACCTCTCCTCAGCTAACTCAGCCAGCGTGTGAGGGATGGGGGTGGGGAGGAGCAGTTTAAAAAAAAAAAAAAGATTTTTATGCTACATTTTTTTCACTCACAATGAGAATAGCTATTGTTGAGTCCCATGGCTCAAAATTTCAAAGGTGGGGTGCCTGACTGGCTCAGTCAGTAGAACATGCAAAACTTGATCTCGGGGTCATGAGTTCAAGCCCCACGTTGGGCAGAGAGATTACTTAAAAAAAAACAAAAAAACAAAAAGAAGCCTTTTAAAAAACCCCAAATTCAAAAGGTGTAAAAGTATATTTAGTAACAAGTCTCCACCCACCAACTCCATCCCCTCCCTGGCCACGCAGTTCCTCTCCCTGGAGATATCCAATATTACTACTTTCTTGCAGATCCTTCCAGAGATGCCAGGTATTCTGTGCAAATTCAAGCAAAAAAAAAAAAAAAAAAATTACCTATAAGACAAGAAATAATGAGTGTTGGCAAGGATGTGGGGAAAAGGAAACTCTTGTGCACTGTTGGTAGGACTGTAAATGGGTTGCAGCTGCTGTGGAAAACAGTATGGAGGTTCCTCAAAAATTAAAAATAGAACCACCATATGATCCAGCAATTCCACTTCTGCGTATCTATCTGAAGAAAGTGAAATCAACATCTCGAAAGCATGTGCACCCTCATGTTCACTGCAGCATTATTTACAATAGCTAAGACATGGAAACAACCAAAGTGTCCACTGACAGATGAATGGATGAAGACAGCGTGGTACACACACACACACACACACACACACACACACACACACGAATATTACTCGGCCATAAAAAAGAAGGAAATTCTGCCATTTGCAACAACTCAAATAGACCTTGAGTGCATTAAGCTAAATGAAATAAGAGAAAGATTAAACACTGTATGATCTCACTTATATGTGGAATCTAAACAAACAAATCTCAAATTCGTAGACACAGAGAACAGATTGCTGGTTGTCAGAGGTGGGGGGTAGGGCTGGGCAAAATGAGGGGAAGTTGGTCAAAAGGTATGAACTCCCAGTTATAAGGTAAGTAAGTTCTGGGATGTAATCTCTAACATGGTAACTATATTAACCTGATGTATTGCACATTTGAAAGTTGCTAAGAGAGTAGAACTTAAAAGTTCTCATCACAAGAAAAATCATTGTAGCTATGTGGTGATGGATGTTAACTTATCATGGTCGTTTCACAAAATATACAAATAATAAACCATGTTGTACACCTAAAATTGATACAATGTGATATGTCTATATCTCAGTTTAAATAATTTAAAAAATATATGTAAAATCTTTCCTCCTCTCCTCCTTTTCTTTACACGAACGATAGCATACTCTATGCCATAGCCTACACCTGACGTTTTCATAGAAGATACCTCTATCTTTTAGTATTAGTCCTTGAAGAGCTGCCTTATTGTTAAGGCTACAGAGTAGTTTCCGCAAAAATGCAGATTTTATGTAGCTAGCCTCTCAGTGATGGACATTTAGCTTGTTTTCAGTTATCGGCTTTACAGTTTTTTGTGGAGGCGTATTGGTAGGATCAGTTCCTAGTAATGGAACTTTTGGGGCAAAGGCATTTATTGTTCTCATAGCAGCCCTATTCACCATAGCCCAAAGGTGGAAATGACACAAATGTCCATCATCTGGATGAATGGATAAACAAATTGTAGTATACATGTGCAATGGAATATTCTTCAGCCATAAAAAGAGAAGTACTGTCACATGCCACAATGTGGATGAGCCTCCAAAGCATTTTGCTAAGTGAAAAAAGTCAGATATAAAAGGTCACACGTTTTATGCTTCCATTCATATGAAATATCCAGAATAGGTCAATCCATGGAAACGGAAAGCAGACTGCAGGTGGCCAGGGGCTGGAGGAGGGACGAATGGGGAATAACTGCTTAACGAGTACAGTTTTCTTTCGGAGTGATGAAAATGTTTTAGAACTAGAGATGGTGGTTGCACAACATAGTGAATACACTCACTTGATCACCTTAAGATGGTTAATTTTTTTTTTAAGATTTTATTTATTTATTTGACAGAGAGCGCACAAGCAGGGGGAGAGGGAAAGGGAGAGGGAGAAGCAGGCTCCCCATTGAGCAGGGAGCTGGACATGGGGCTCCATCCCAGGATCCTGGGATCATGACCTGAGCAGATGCTCAACTGACTGGGCCGCACAGGCGCCCCGGTTAATTTTATGTAATGTGAATTTCACCTTAATTCATAAAAGGAGGGGAGCATACACATTTACAATTTGTAGATATTGTCCTACATGAAGGTTGCACTGATTTACTCTCCCATCAGCCTATTTTCCCATCATAGTTTTTCATTAAAGTTTTTAATCTTCCCTATAAAGATATGCAAGTCTAGTTTGATTTCCATTTAACTTAGTAAGAAAGGATAATCAATTTTCTATAGTTCTGAGAGACCTATTTGTATTTCTTTTTCTGTGGATAGTCTGTATCTGCCCAGTTTCTTAGTGAGCCATTGGGCTTTTTCTTATTGATTTGAGAGCTCTTTATTTATTTATTAAGATTTATTTATTTATTGAGAGAGAGAGAAAGAGAGAGGGAGAGAGAGAATCTCCAGCAGACTCCCCACTGAGCAGGGAGCCCACCTCGGGACTTGACCCCTGACCCCGAGACCGTGACCTGAGCCAAAATCAAGAGTTGGACACCTAACTGACTGAGCCACTCAGGTGCCCTAGAGCTCTTTATTTTGAAGTGAGTTACAAGTATGTTGTTTGTAGCCAATTACAGTTTGTTGTTTGTGTTTTGGCTTTGATGGTGGCTTTTTCCACACAGGCTTTCAATTTTTAATGTAAATGAATTTATCGATTTTTTTTTCTTTTATGGTTGCTGAGTTTGGTGACATACTCAGAAGGCCTCCTTCATTCCAAGATTCTACAAAATTTTCCCTTTGTTTCTTCAGTATTTTTATAGCTCATTTTTTTTTTCTGAAACATTTAATTAAACTTTGGATCCACCTGAAAAAAACAGTATGTTCTAAAAATTTCAATGGCTGAGTCTGTACTGAGAAACATCAGAAAGGAGCAATCAACCTGTTCCTGGATACTGTGTTCATCCTGGACTCATGTGAGGAGCTGTGTGCAGCTTTCTCATCTTTCCACCTGAAACCAGATCTCAGCCAGGGATGGAGTCTGGGCACTCTGCTGGCCCTTGGGCTCCTTGCCTGCATCCCAGGCTGTGAAGCTGAGCACGACTGGGCTCCAACCCACCTCCCAGTGTGAGATACTGATGGAGGGCACGAGGACCACTGCCCAGTAGGATTTCTCATCCTTTGATTGTTCCATTGTCTTGAGTGAAGGAAACTAAGTTCCTGGGGACACTCACTACCTCATAACCTGCATCAAATCACTTCATCTCTCCAAACCTCAGATTCTTCAACTGTAAAATACAGTATCACCTCCCTCATAGGGTTGTCATGAGGATTAAATAAATGTGCCCAGTACATAGTAAGCATGCAACAGAAAGACTCTAATTTGATTTTGTTTTGTTTTCTTAAGTAAACACTACACCCAACATGGGGCTCAAACTCAAGACCCTGAGATCCAGAGTCTCGTGCTCTACTGACTGAGCCAGCCAAGTGCCCCAAGACTCTAATTGTTCATTCATTTGTTTATTTGGCAAATATTACTGAACACTTACCAATGCTGGGCACTGTCCTAGGTGTTGGGGATGCGGCAGGGGCAAAAACTTAACTACCGGTAGAGGGAAAATAAGTAAGCAGGTAAATATAGGTATCAGGCAGCAATAAAAACAGAGTGATGCAGGCAGGGGTTAGTCAGGCAACAGGGAAGACCATGCAGTTAAGGTACTCACAGTTCATCCAGTGATGGACATTTCTACAGAGAACATACATTATTATTTCATGAACCTGTTTTCTTGGCTAATTCCCGTTTCCAAGAACTTGAGGCTCTTGGTGCCAAGTGCTCCCGTGGAGGTGGCCAGGTCTGAGAGCTGATGTAACTGTTCGCTCTGTGTGGCTCGTCCCATCTGCGATGTGGCAGGGCTCAGTTGGGGACTTGCCTATGAACTATTCTTTCAAGGGCAGGCCATGAGGCCTCAGTCTTTATCTTCCATTGTGAGTTCTGAGGTGGCCAAAGTGAGCACACTACACAGGTTCAGTCCTCAGGGTGTGCACAGGAAGATAAAGAAGAAAATCCTTCAGGGGTAGCCTGGGTGGCTCAGGTGGTGATCTCGGGGTTCTGGGATCCCGCCCCACATCCGACTCTCCGCTCAGCAGCAAGTCTGCTTCTCCCTCTCAAATAAAGAAAATCTTAAAAAAAAAAAAAGAAAAAGAAAAAGAAAAAGAAAATTCTTCAGGCCGCCTGGGTGGCTCAGTGGGTTAAGCAACCAAGTCCTGATTTCCGAGCAGGTCATGATCTCAGGGTTGTGGAATCAAGCCTGGCGTTGGGCTCTGCACTGGGCGGTGATACTGCTTAAGATTCTCTCTCTCCCTCTCTTCCCATCCCCCCACCCCACGCTCCCTCTCTCTCTTAAAAAAAAAAAAGAAGAAGAGAAGAGAAAAGAAAATCCTTCAGTTTTGTGTCTGCTGGACTCTCAGGAAATGAGAGACCCAGGGCTTGGGGCACACAGAGGAGGGCGCAATGCTCCTTGCTCAGCGTGGGGTCTGGGCACTCTGCTGGCCCTTGGGCTCCTTGCCTGCATCCCAGGCTGTGAAGCTGAGCACGACTGGGCTCGAACCCACCTCCCAAGGAGTTTCCTTCCCTGGTCAAACCCTCATCACTGAGGTATGAGATACTGATGGAGGGCGCGAGGACCACTGCCCAGTAGGACAGTGAGCAGGGAGCTCAAGCTAGGGCCAGACGGCAGGCAGGCCCCCACTCCATCATTAATTCTCAGCAACCCCAGCCCCAAAACGTGGCCTCCCTCCCCATCTTCCCAGCCAAAGTCTGGGACAGGCTCTGATTGGACTGACTGGGTCACGTGTTCACGCCTGACTCACCGGGGCCTGGAAGATACGTTCTGTTGATGGGCCAGTCACAGCAGGGCTGATGTCAGAGAAGGCAAAGCCAATGGGTATGGAGCCATAAGTTGATTAGGAGTTGGGAAGTTCCTCACTCGCCAAGCTCTGGCCCTCCATCAACCTCCGGCCCTCCATCAACCTCCGGGCCTTTGCACATGTAGTTTCCTCTTCTCAGAAAACTTTTCCCTCTGTTCTACTAGGCTGACCTCCAGGTCTCCACCCAAACTTCACCTCTCGGTGGCCGCTGCTCTCGGGGCTGGGCCCTCACTGCCACAGGTTCATCTGCTAACCACCTGGTCTGTGAGTCTGACTCCTACTCTCAGGACAGGGCCTGCAGCCAGGCCAGCCTCGAGGGGCCAGTGTTTCGCAGGAGGCGCTCAGGAAACGCCTCTGGGAAAAGGGATGCGGCACAAACACACACGCGCACATCCGCACACGAACCCTCTTCCCGGCCATAAATGGCCATAAATGGGGCGCGGATCCCACCCCACTTGGAAACCCGCCTATCCTGGGGCGCACAGACTCGCGCGCGCACTCCCGGACGCGCCCCAGCCACAGACCCTTCGGCTCAGGGCGCCCAGACACACACGCCCGCGTGCGCCCACGCACGCTCGACCACACGCAGGCCCTGTTCTCCGCCACAAACAGGCGCGCGCAAGCGCGCGGACACACCGATCAACTCCCGGCGATAGGCCCACCCGGAACAAGGCGCACGGTGCGCGCACGCGCGGCCCCGAGATCCCGCCCCCTCCCGGCCTCGCCCGTCGGGGGCGGGGCGCGCTGGGCCGGGTCCTGCGGCACCGCCCGGGAAGCTGCGCGAGGCTGGGCGGTCGCCGCCACATCCTCCTCCTCCTCCTCCTCCCGGGCCGGGCGAGCGGAGCGGGTCCAGGGCTGAGCCGAGGGCTCCAAGGGCGCGGGCGGAGCGGGGCACGGAGCCATGGCGCACCAGACGGGCATCCACGGTGAGAGCGGATGGTGGGCGGGCAGGGGGCCGAGGGTCTCCGCTCGCGGCTGCGCCCCCTCCCTGGCGCTCAGCCCCTCTCCTCCCTGGCACCAGCCTGGGGAAGCTTCCTGTTCTCTTTTGCAGTCGCGGGTCGACTGGGGTGGGCACATCTGGGGGCGTGCGACTTACTGTGCATGGTTAGGAGTGGGTGTACATATAGGTACACAGCTGGAGTGGAAATATCTGTGTGCCCATCTGGGGGTGGATGTGCCTGCGTGTACCCATCTATATATTTTTGTTCCTTTCTGGGGGTGGGGGTACTGGATGTGCACATCTGGGGGAGTGTGCACGCATGTGCACTTGTGTGTACAGTCCTGTGTTTGCACATGTGGATGTGACTGCTTGTGTATGTCTAGGGTCATTCATGCACATGCTCTAATAGCTGATTGAATGACCACTGTCGCATGGAACCATCTTCAGGCATCAGTGTTTTGTGACTATGTGCACATGTCTGTGGGTGTCTGTGTGTGTGTGCACAGTTTGGGTACATCTCAGTGTGCATTTGTTACCACGGATGCATGTGTCAGATGTGTCTGTGTTTGGCTTCTGTGGGTTTGTGGCCGTGTGAGGAGTGGTCCCTGACCTTTGGCTCCTCCCAGGACCCTCACACATTTGAGCAAGCTAGACTAGGGAAAACCGGGGCCAGGGCCCTCAAAGCGGGATCGGGAGAGTTGCCAATCTGACCTTGACCTCTGACCTCCCTACCATTTTCCACTCTGATCTTCTGAGTCTGCTCCAGCCAGGGTTGGAAGGTCCCAGCTCCAGGATAGAGGAAGAAAAGAGGGTCCACATATGGGGTTTGTGAGGGAGGGTCCTGGCTTTAGAGACTCCAGGCCAATACCCCCTACCCTAAGCTTCTCCAGCCTAGAGCATCACCCCCTCCCCAGGAGCCAGGTGTCCTAACCCTACCCCGGTCTGAGTGTCCCCCCTCTGTCACTGGCTTGGGAAGACTGCCTAGCCTGTGGGAAAGGCCCAGGCTGCTTGCCCAGACAGCCGACAGCCTGGTGGTTTGGCCATCAGCCACTCCTCCCACCACACCAGGATCCCCAGCCCGGAGACACCACCACCATCGACCAGCCCGACTGCCTGGATCTCAGCTTGGCTTGTGGTCGTAGTGGCTGCTTGGTGGCCAGACCAGCTAGAGGGTTTCCCTGGCCCCACCCCACAGGACCAGAGAAGGCAGGGGTCTGGGTCAGGGCCAGCCTCCTGCCAGTGGGCCAGCCTCTGCTGGAGGGGCTGGAGGGCGGCTTCGTGACTCAGCCCCACAGAAGGGAACAGATGCCCCCTGGACCTGCCCCTTCCTTCCCCTTTGTCTGGTCACTGCTGCTGCCTCCATCTGAGAGTAGATCGGAAGTCAGGGCCCCTCCTCCCTGCTCAGGACTGACAGGTCCTGTGGCCAAGGCTCTGCCTCACACCTTCATTTCCCATGTGGTGAGACAGGCCTGCCTAGGGGATCACTGGGGACTGGGCCATCCCCAGCCCTCCTGCCTATGAGCAGCCCACTCCTTCCCATTTCTGGCCTGGGGAGGTGGCAGGTGACATCGAATGCCCTGGATGCCCAGATGCCAGCCCAGTGGTGGCCATGAGTGTGGATCTGTTGACCTCAGAGCAGGGAAGGGGGGGGGGGGGACTTGTAACTTGAGGCTTACCAGGGTGGAGGGTGGGCAGGGCAGCAGAGGCGGGGGCAGGGAGGTGGGAGAGCATGAATCTTTGATGATAGAGGCTCAGGTGTCCCAGGCCTGGCCTCTGGATTATTGATGGTGGCTGAGGAGTCATGGAGGGGGATGTCTCTTCCACTACTGGGGTGTCACTCTGTCCTAGTAACTCTAGAAGGGGCGTGGCAGCCTCCCTTAGGGGAGCTTCTTGGCTTTACCTCCCAGAAGGTCTGAGCAGGTGGAAAGGTGCCATCATTAAAGTAATAAAATTTAACAATTGTTATTCGTGGAGGCCCCATTACTGAGCATTTTTTTCCATTTACTCCTCAGCATGGCTCTCTACAGCTTGGGAGTATTAGCTCCATAGTATGGATGAGTTTGAGGCTCAGCAAGGTCAGAGGTCACACACAGCTGTGGGAAAGATGGAGACCCAGAGGCCAGGCTTTACCTCGGCGACCTGCTTGTGGGGTCTGCTGATAGGCAGCTCTGTCCTGGCCCAGTGGGGTTGTGTCTCCATACCATGGTCACTTGGTTGGGACCCCGCTCGCCCAGCAGCCATGGAGGGTGGTATACAGCCTGAGGTCTCAGGCTCAGAGTCACCCTGCCTGATGGGCCCCTGAGGACATGACCTGAGTTTGTTTTCCTAATCCCCCCCCCCACACCCCCCCAAGCTGCCCAGTCTGGGCCCTATAAATATTCTCTGACCTCAGTCCTCTAGCTGTGTTCCTGCAGAATTCTCCTGACCCCTGGGTAGCCTCAAGGTCATGCTGGCCTGGCCCTGCACACCCAGAGACCCAAGTCGGGCCCTTCCCCAATTGGACTTTGGTTTCTGCGTCTGAACCACTGCTGTGGTTTAGATCTGTGACGTCCCTGGTCCTCACCTCTGCCCGTGGGATCCTGGGTCATTGGATGTCACCTTCCAGCTCTGTGACACGAGGACCAAGACGGTCTGTTCTGAAGAGTTCCTGATTGCCACTCCTCGTCTGGAAGCCTTCTGGATGGCCTTAGGGCTGGGGCCTTGTTGCCCCTGGCAGGGCTGGGCGTGGGCTGGGCTTGGGCTGGGCTCCTGGCCTCTCAGGGTGAGGCACCTGGTTGACGGGCTGGGGCCGGGTGTACAGGCCTGTGTGTTTGTTACTCCGGGACCGTGTCTGTGTGTGTTGGAGTATCTAAATGTGTGTGTCCACTATGTTTGACCAAATGAGTGGGTTTTCACGTGTGAGGGTATTTGCATTTCTACTCCACTCTGTCACATACAGGTTTATTTGTTACATTCACACATGCTGGACTGAGTAGGTATCCGATGGCATACACAACAGATGATGCACGTGTGTCCATGTGTGTGTGTGTGTTCATGGACATAGTGGTCAGTGCACAGTGGGGGCATTTGCTCACCTATTTCTGTGTTTGTGGATATGACAGAGAGTGTCACGGGCCAGTTCAGTGCTGGGCCTTCCTAGGGGGCAAGGGACAGGTGGGGGCCATTCGCTCTGGTGGGCCTGGCCTGTCCAGAGGCCCCCCCTTCCTTAAGTGGGCTGGCCCATCCCCGCCTCCCCTGTCACCAGAGCTGTCTCAGCCAGCAGGCCACACTGCTGGCTAAATTTGGGAGCTTCTGTTCATGGGCCGTGTCAGGTTCCCAGTCACATGGGGGGCCCTATTTAACCCGGCTCCCAGCTCCACCAGCAGACCCCACAGGACGGAGCGGGCCCTGAACGTGTCCCAGTCCACCCTGCTCACGCTTCCCGCTCATCCCTCACCATGTTTCTTGTTCTCGTAGCCACCGAGGAGCTGAAGGAATTCTTCGCCAAGGCTCGGGCCGGCTCTGTCCGGCTCATCAAAGTCGTCATTGAGGATGGTGAGTGCCCCCTACTACCCCCTTTGACGAGCTAGGGCATAGGCCGGCAGCTGGACCCTGCTGTTTCTCTGGGAGCTGCTTGGACCTTGGCCTCCAGCCCCTTCAGGACCTCACTTTCTCCATCTGGGGACGGGAGGGGCGTTGTAGGAGAGCAGCGGAGGTGGGCATGATCATTGGCCCTGTTACACAGAACAGGAGTCACAAGCTGGGGAGACAGCAAGGAGAGCCCTGCCTGGGGGTCCTGTCCAGCTCCCTAGAGGCTATGTAGGGGTCAGAGGCCCAGTCGGGATGCTGGGCTGGGCGTGGGGGCAGGGGACCAGTGAGGCCAGGCACTGCCCCACGTGGTGAGTGCCACTCACCTCCCTCTGTGATCAGTAGGCTGGCCTGACTTGGCTGCTGGCCGGGGGGAGTCCCAAGGAGAAGCCCGGGGCCCTGCCCTTGGGAAGTGCCCCTGCAACAGGGCAAGGGGCCTCGTGCCCAGCTTGCTTTGAGAGCATGACTGGGGGATTCCAGGCTTGGCCAGGCCTTGGCCTGGACGCTGGGAACCCGAGGCTTGCAGAGGGTGGGTGCTCAGCATATAGGGGTTGCGGGTGGGTGAGCTTGAGCTGAGGCCTGAAGTGGGGGAAGAGTTTGAGGAGGTAGTGGACTAGACTGAGGCTTGGTGGCAATACCTCTGCCTTCCCTTCATGCTGAGGCGTTGTCCCTGGAGGTGAGGGGAAGAGACACTGGGAGTGGGCTGGGCCCCCCACGAATCCTTCCAGTCCTCGGTAGCCAGCGGTTGTGGGCCCTTTGGAGGGCCCCCTAAATGGGCTTGGTTCCCACTTTTGATTCATTGAATTGGTGCAAAGCAGGGTCTGCCCAGACCCAGAATTCACCCCAGGCTTCAGTGCCAGAGCTGTGCTGGGTTTTGTCTGGGGTCCCCAAGTTCAGATGCCTTCAGAGGCTGGGTTAGGGTCACTATGGTAGGTCAAGAGGAGAGGCTTCCTGGGGTGACAGGCCACAAGCCCCCTGCTCCCCAAAGGGATAGACTCATTGGCCCTAGTCCTCAGCCTCCCTGTTGCCTCCCAGACAGGACGTACGTGCAGGTGTTTAGCAGGAGGGATCTCGGGGTGGGCTCTTAGCTCCGTTATG